AGCTCCCGCTGTGGGAGTGCCCTGTCCACCAGGGGGCAGCTCCTGCATTGAGCATCTGCCCCCTGGTGTTCAGTGTGTGTCATAGTAACCAGTCATTCCCAGTCGTTCTGCTGTTAGGGTCAATTTGAATATTACCCTTTTACTATATAGGGTAGAGGCCTGGTACATGGGTGGGGCCCACTGGTTTGCACTGAAGGGTGTCCCGGGTCAGGGTGTGGGAAACACGGGGGTGCCTGGCCAGCCTGGGTGAGGGGCTGAGGGCTGTTTTCAGGCCGACTGAAGCTCCCAACTGTTCCTTTTTTTCTTTTCTTTTTTTAATTCTGGGCCAGCTTTAGCTCTGAGGCTCCAGCTCTTAGGCCTCCGCTGCTGACAGCAGGTATCTGGTTTGTTTCGGTTCTATAACTCCAGCTCTGAGATCCCGGGCTCGCTGAAAGCAGGTTTCTGGGGTTTTGTTTAGCTTCTATATTTGTTACTATGTTTCTTAAACTGCAGGCTCAGAGGCCGGCAAGGCAGGCGGGGAACATTGGAGTCCTCCATCACTGAAGCAAGCTAGCCTCATGTTTGCTTCAAGCTGCCTGGCTGCCGGCTACCATCTTGGCTGGCAGTTAATTTGCATATTTCCCTGATTAACCAATGGGAAGGGTAGCGGTTGTACGCCAATTACCATGTTTCTCTTTTATTAGATAGGATGTGCTGAGTGGAGGGGACATGCCAGAGCCCATTGCGCCACAGGGAGACCAGTATCAGTGAGGAGGCAGGAGTGGGGAAGTGGGGTTCAGACTAGAGCCTTTACTGGGGTTCCAGCAGGAAAGGCAATGCAGGGAGGGAAACCTCTTGGGACTGGCTTGTTGGATCATCCCTGGGGGCCTTGCTGCATAGGGGCCACCCCTAGCTGTCTGGTGCCTGGCCAAGGTGACCTGGGGTGGGGAATATTAGTGGGTGTGTGGGCTCTGGGTCGCAGGGGAGCTGTAAACGACTGTGGCCAGGGGTTCAGCCCTGACATGAATGGATGCAAATCCACAAATGCCAAATCAAAGATAGCACAGTAAGAGCTACCCCCAGAGACAGAGAGAGCTGAGGGTGACACCCCCACCGTGGACAGACAAAGGGCAGGCCATCAGGCTGTGGTCACATCTATGGCCATGAGTCAGTGTCTCTACCAGAGAACGTGGAGAAGGCTGGGACTGCAGAGGCGATGCGCCCCTGGGAGTCAGTGGGGCAGTCCCAGGTCAGGCCAGAGGCCCATTGCTGGGCTCGAGCCACTGTCCGCTTCTGTTCCAAGAACTCCTGTCTGTCCTCCCCTCCACCCAGGCAGGTCTCAGCTCAGAAGAGGGGATCCTGGCACACTCCCATGGCTGTGGGAGCCAGGATCCTCCCGTCCTGCACTGTATGGCTCAGGCCCCCCAAGCTGCGTGCCCCTGGCAGTCATTCTTGGGTTTTATTTTTAATATATATTTTATTGCTTACCTGGGATAATACTTTCCATTTGTCAGCTATAAGTCATGTTGAAACTTTAAGCAGCAGGCTCCTTAGTTTATGATAGTCATTATGTAGGAGATAATGTCCTGGAATTTCACAAGTGTATACAGAATTCAGATATTTTCACTCTCTGGAAGGAACTTGCCTCAGTTAATATTTTTAGGGAGCTCTGAAGCTGGCAGAGCTACCTTCAATTTAAGGAAATAAGTGATTGATTTCATCATGGGATGACAAATAGAACCCTACCAAACTGGTTACGGCCATTCTTGGTTTTTTAAAATCTACTTTTATTGATTTCAGAGAGGAAAGGAGAGGGAGAGGGATAGAAATATCAGTGATGAGAGAGAATCATTGATCGGCTATCTCCTGCACACCCCACACTGGGGATCAAGCCCCCAATCCCGGGCATGTGCCCTGACCAGGAATCGAACCGTGTCCTCCTGGTTCTTGGTCGATGCTGAACCCCTGAGCCACACCAGTCGGACCCTAGCAGTCATTCTGCTCTCTGCAAAGGGGAGGTTGTGCCTGGGACACGCCCTCCTCGGCCACCTGGTCCTGGGTCACCTCACCCCACTGCGTTCTCAGGGCAGGGCTAGCCCCTCGGCTCAGCAAAAGCTCGGCGGCGGGGCTGTGGCCACGCTCCACAGCGAGGTGCAGGGGTGTTGCGTGGAGCCAGCCAGCAGCGTTGACCTGTGCGCCCCTGTCCAGGAGATGGCTGGCGACTTCCACATGGCCGCTCCGAGCTGCGTGGTGCAGGGGTGTGAGGCCCAGTGCGTCTCGAGCATCCACCTGCGCTCCCCGGGCTGCCAGCAGCTGGACGGCAGGCAGGTGTCCGCCAGCGGCAGCCCGGTGGAGTGCAGAGCGTCCGTGCCTGTCCCTGAGGCTGGGGTCCGCCCTGTGGTCAAGCAGTGTCTCCACATCCTGGAAGAGGAGGGGAGGACAAGGCAGGGGCCGCCCTGACATTTGCCTGGCCCGGGGCACCTCACGGCGTCCTTCTTGGCCCTGCTTCCCAGCTGGTAAGTGTGCCGGCCCCTGTACGTGCCCGGAGGGCTCTGCTTAGGGACTAACACTTGTCCCCCTCACTGTCCTTAGATACCATTCACCACCTGGCCCAGCGCCATGGGTCCGTGGGTGAAGTTGACCTATGGAACCAGGAGGTCAGGGTTCAATGTCTGGGTTGTGGGCTCGATCCCCAGTGTGGGGCGTGCAGGAGGCAGCCCATCAGCGATTCTCTCTCATCATTGATGTTTCTATCTCCCTCCCTTCTTCTCTGAAATCAATAAAACATATATATAATTTTTTTTTTAAATCCTCACCCGAGGATATTTTGCCATTAATTTTTAGAGAGAGTGGAAGAGACAGGGGGAAAGACAGAAACATCGATGCATCGATTGGTTGCCCCTGCACGAGCCCTGACCAAGGGACCAGGCCCCGGGGGGAGCCTGCAACCAAGGTACCTGCTCTTGAGCGGAATCGAACCCAGGACCCTATGGTCCACAGGCCTACGCTCTATCCACTGAGCCACACCGGCCGGGGCAATAAAAACGTGTTTAGAATAAAGATGGGGCGCCGGTCCAGGGTCCTCCCCAGTCCTCCCTGAGGTGGTCACAAACCGGAAGCAAACTCCAGGCTGCACTCAGACGCCAGACCCTCCGGGCTCCTCCCACATCCTCGGCCCTGAAGCCTCCCCCTGCCCCAGGCGTCCACTCGGTCCGTGCCCTCCCCGCACCCGGGGCGCGTGGAACAGCCAGTTTCTGGGGCGAAGGCCGCTTCCCCACACCGCCCGGCCCTGTCCACCCCGGGTGAGGCCGGCACGTACCTGCCCGCG